ATACATACATATATAATCATATATACATGCAACATCTATTTATGCGATTAGAATCACCTGCTATTAGGCAACTGTAGGCCTGGGAAAGGGGCAAAGATGTGTGTAAATGAAGGTGGCCTCTCTCGGGTTTGGGTGCTGACTTGCGGCATTTTGGGTTTACAAAACGACGCTGCAAAAAGAGGTTAAAACAGTACTACCGTACTTCGTCTCAATAATAACACCATCAGCAGGACGCCGAGCTTCGTCGTCTGTTGGAAATGCAGGGTAAGCTGCAGACACGTCCAATGGCCGCCTGGGCTGCGCACTTTGCAAAGATCAGTCTCCCGCCTGGAACTTTCCAACTGCATGGTGGATTCCCCAACCCTCCAGGTACCTACTATATAGGGCCCTAGGGGCTCTAGTACCCTTTATAGTAGATACCTGGGGGGTTAGGGGATTGAGATTACCGCCAGGCCGCCTCAGTGTCGCAGCATTCAGCCACGCAGCGGTTGCCTGTCCAGGGGCTTGGAGCAGACTGTGGGTCACACTTGGGTCAAACGGTGCCTCGGAGCTCGAGAGCACTATGTCCTCGACATACTTACATATATATATATATATATATGTATACATATATATATATATATATGTATACACATAAATATATACATATATATATATATATACACATGACCTTTGCTCCTGGCCTCTTTGGCCAAACGATCCAAGCACCCGGTCTTTGGGCTGTAAATCTGCTCCTTGGCTCAAGCAGCATACAGCCTGGCATATGGAGGTTTCCAAGAATAGGGGACCCTAATATAGCAATTATCCTAAGCAGTAGGATCCTTACTATAAGGACCCCAAACTAAGGTACACTAAGTTTCAGAAACCCCCCATATCTCGGCCTAGTCTGGCTCATCATTAATCATGCGCCGCATCAACTATCTTGTGCGGGGTGTACACCAGCAAGCACCGGCGCTTCGGAGTTTGTATGCGCTGCAGGCTCGACAAATCCTTTGTGTACGCCCTTGCATTCTATCCAGAGTCCTGCGTAGCGAATACAAGTTGAATTGAACTGCTGTCGCTTCCTACTCGTCCTGTCTGATTGCCAAGATGCGGTAATGGCATTAGACAACTTCACCTGAAAGGAGGTCGCCTGCAATTCAGGCAGGGAGGTCTAGATAGGATCGGCAGGCATGCTGGAGGTCTAGATAAGCAGGCGGGAAACCAAACATAGATCTGTCAACCTGAAAAGGAGGAAGTGGCCATCCTGCGCTGAACCACATCAAAATCGTCGCATGTCCGATCGGAGATGGAGCCATGGATGTATGCGGTGCAAGGGAAGCCTCTCCACTGGCGCATGAGCCTTCGACCCTCAACACCCCCTCCAGAGCCACGATAAACTTAGCCCGGGAATGCTGCTCCGTGCTTCTTAACATCCAACCAAGTCCACACATCGCGAAATACCTTTCCAACACCACAAAACCTCGACAGCGGGCAAATTGCTTGCAGGATAAGTCCAATCATTCGAACGGAGTGTTCAGTCACATTACAGTCCAGCATATGGAAGGTGAAGCCTTTAAGCCGCATCTATGTGATAGGGACAGTTTCTTAAAGTGAGAGCGATTCATCTTTATCTATGAAACAGCTTTTGCTCTTGATGCCTACATGCGGGATCCTTCCTGAAGCCTGTGACACGCAAAGGCGCGTTCTGCAGGGGTCGAGGGAGCCGCGCCAGCCGCTGAAGGAGCAGATTGGCTCGCTCAGCGAGCTCCGGCCTCCTTCCATGAACAATGAGAATGGGTGACCACTTTCTTCTCCGTATGAAACAACAAACTATTGAGAATAAGAACCATAAAACACCGGTGTGCATATACGTGAAATACATATATATATATATATGCATGTACATATATATATATATATGCATGTACCTACCTACCTACCTACCTACCTACCTACCTACCTACCTACCTACCTACCTACATGCATAAATACAAACATACAAACAGTCATACACACATACATACATACATACATACATACATACATACATACATACATACATACATACATACATACAACATACTTACTTACTTACTTACTTACTTACTTACTTACTTACTTACTTACGTACTTACTTACTTACTTACTTACTTACTTACTTACTTACTTACTTACATACTTACATACATACATACATACATACATACATACATACATACATACAGACATGCATACATACATACAGTTTGTTAAGTTATTGTATGTATTCAGTTCTGCTGTGCGCACACTTCTTGTGCTTCCCGTATTCATTGTTTCTCGTCATTAATTCATCTTGTTCGGATGTGTGAGTGTGTGTGTCCCCTTTTTTCATCCATTTCCTTCTAGGGCTTGGGGCTCATGCGGAGATATCGGACTGCGGGCTCAGGCTTTCAGCTTGGAAATTCCGGGTTTTCTGACTTGGATTTTGATATTTGCGGGCTTCGGGGTGCTGCTCCTGAAGTTTGGATTCCTGACCTCTGGAGATCGATCTTTACATCTGTTCAGCTTGTGGCCGCGGAGTAGACCTCCGGATTCTGTAAGTTTAGGTGTGAACGCTGTTCTCGCCTTCCGACTGCTTAGGTACGCCTCAAGTGGACGGCACGCCTATGAGGCTTGCCTCTTTCCGTTTTTTGCTCGGTAGGCTTGGAGCCCGAGATGCACTTGATGGAAATAGAAAAAATCTTTTGCACGTGGGCCTTAGTGTGGCTGCACAAGAGATCTTCTGGACCCCTTGAACTCCTGAGATCTTTGGCACAGGGAGTAGGGCCTCATTGCTGCCTGCGATGGGACCGCACTAGCGCCCTTTACTTGCCGGGAAGGGTTTCAGAGAGCGTGTGGAGCTCCTATGTTTTTAGCCATGGATTGCTGTCAGCTGAGCTGCTTCGACACTGACGCCAGCATCTCTGTTCGCCGCACCTGCCCACCGAGCAGTTTCACATGCATCTGCAACATCTTCGGCGTCAAGTGTTTGATTTCAGGTGTCAAGTGCACACGCACTATGCCCGCTACCAGTACATATTTTCTATTTCTCACGGAGCCTGACCGGAAAATGCATGTTGGCTGCCCTTGCAGGGTGAAGGACTACAGCTTCTGTGGCTTTTGCACCCAGGAACAAGAAGCATAACATCCGGGTCGGCTGTGCCGTGAGCTCAGACACCCTGTAATTGTAGACACTTTAATATCTAGTAATTATGTAGAACTTAGTGAGATTGCATGGTTCGCCCCGAGCAAATGAGACTTTCGAAAGCTGCATAGCCGAGGCTTCATTGAAGCCTCCCAGCACATGAGGCAAAGGATGCTACCGGCAAAGCTGATGAAGCGATTCAAGGCTGCAGCTTCTCTTGCCGAATCCTGCCGGGGCTTAAGACTAAGGGCATGATGGGGCTGAGGCCACCTGGACCCCGCTCCGACTTCCCCATGCTTGCAAGCGCTTGAGGACTGTGCCTTTTGCAAAGTGCTTGCTCTTGCATACTGCTGAGGCACTCATGGCAACTACGTATGCATCTGACTCTAACTCTAAACCTTATACAAAATATACAACCTAAAGTGACCTAAAGCCTAAATTCCTGTAACTCGCAGACCGGCAGAGCTCCAATCGCCAAAGTGCAGCGAGCCAGCTGGCCTTGATGCTAACCCAGCCTGTTCAGGTCGCTGACTAGGCGGAAGACAAATGCGATCAAGAAACTTTCGAGGCTTCTCAAACTGTTTAGGTTATTTTGGATTAGATAATTAGCCCTCCTAGCTCTTGTGGACCTACGACGAAGAGATGAGACCCGTTGGCAAACACTTCCGCCGGATCGTCACTGGTATGTCGAGGATTGTCGAGATCCGTGCAGAACACCAGAGGGCCAGAGGAACCTTGTTTCCGACTAGTTCCGCAAGCTCACAGCTGCAGACTCGTGGCACCGAGCCAGACATTTAAACTTAAACGCTCTGCAGCCCACTATGCACAGAAGTCCAGCCGAACATAAAAGCTCAACCCGACGCCTGCAGGTGGTCCAAAGCCGGAGAGAAGCTGATAGCCTCTTAGGGTTTAGGGTTTAGGTTTTAGGGCTTAGGGTTTAGGGTTTAGGGTTTTGAGGCGACGGTTCTGAGGTTTGGCGAGGCCTGTTTGTTCCACACCGGACGGCTGAAAGATCGTTCTCGATCCTTTCGGCTTTGTCCAACATACAGCTGAGGATGTTCACAGTAGAGACAGAAAGGACAAGCGGAAACAAGCAAGCGCAGAGAAACAAGAAAGGCCCCTGTGTGTACACACAAGCATTCCGTTGCAAACATCGAAGCGGCGCTATAAGATGTCTGTACTTTCCAGCCAGCATGATCGAAAATGACATCCGGTGCAGCCGAAGTGCAGAGCCGGTCGCCCTTTTCCGCAATTTCGCGGACGATCGAGCCAGTCGCGAGACGTTGGCGCAGCCTCGGCGCGCATTGCTGCTAGCGACGCAGTGCATCGATCTCAGCACCATTGTCACGGGAATCTCACAGATGCATAGTGCAACCAGCACATGAGCAAACTGCCACACTGGCGGAGTTTGTCCGAGCTGCTCTGGAGATTGCAAGCCTCAAGCACGGACTGACGGAACGCTTTGGTCATGTCATGGTCACCCCTTACAGCCTACTCCTTCGGACTCTGGCAGTGACTGACCTGAAAGGCTAAACCCGACGCTCCGAGTATCCCAGGGAAGACAACTCTGATGGATGATTCCAATGTTCGGAAGCCACTTCGTGCTTCAATGACCCCCTTCCTGTCCAACCACAACTGTTTGCAGTCATGTGACTTGCCCCCTCCCTGACGACGACACCACCCTCTCGCGCGCCGCCCACCTGGTCATTAATGAAATCATGGACACTTCGCACAGCACTTTCGCAGTTTGGCCAGAAGCATCCCTGTGGCTTGATAAGCATGTTGCTGCTTTCGGGTCACAAGGTTCTTAAAGCCCAGGCGGGATTGGAACACGTGATTCCCGAAGATGGTACTGATTCAGGTCAACTAGTGAGCCGCGTTCACGTACGGGTGTTGAGTTGAGGGGTTGCTGCATGCGGCAAGTTAAATATGAATGCGTCGCGTACACATACAGCGCGCAAAACTGTCTTGACAAGCACTACACTGCAGGAATTCCGATTGCACTCATCTACGTATGCGGTCAGTAACCGCCGAACAACATTCTCGGTGTTTCAGGAGAAATGTTCCAAGTCCAAACTTCTGAGGCCCAAGCCCCTCAGAATGGCTCCTGGATTGTTCTCCCCCTCCCCTTCCCCCTTCAATCTGAACGCTTCGATTGCTACCCGCGCTTTGCAAAATACCATTATACCAAATCCTGCACCCATTTCAAACAGCCCAATATGTGATCAAGCTCAGCACCGGATCTGCACGTACGGCAGTTCTTGCAGCAGCAAAACATTTCGGTTGCTGGAAGGCTTAACACGACACTGGTTTTCAGCAACTTACTACTTCCGTTTTGCACGGCAGCTCTTGGTACTGCCAAGCCACAACTTCCCACATGAGCACCTGCAAGCTCGGATGTGTCACAGGGAACTTCTGATGCCAATCGCTCCCCTGCCGGACTTACAGTTTGCGTGCACAGCTTCTCTGACATGGGCAGAACATCAGCGAAGGGGTGGGCCACATCTGATCTGCTCCCCTGCTGCCTTCTTCCGCAACTTGTCGACAAACTCCTCTACCTGGCATCCGCAGGAATACGCGAACGCTTCG